TCACCCTTGACACGACGGCGCCGCTGATTAATGAAGTCGGCTTGCCATTTCAAAAGTGTATCCCACCCGCGGAATTCGGTTTGACGCGCAGCTTTTCTCAGGGAATCTTTGATTTATCGTTCCAATAACACGCGAATAATCGAAGCCGGCTCGAGGCGTCGCGAACTTTGTGCCGACATTAGGAATAATTAATTGTCGGCCTGGAGCCCTTAACGCAACGGCGCGCCGGCTCGAAACACGGAAGCACGGGCGAGTCTCTCGGCGGGAGGCTTTTTAATGCCGCCGAGGAATAATTCGTCTCGGGAGATTTGATATTCGCTCGGACGTAGATTTACGTTCCGATCGTTCGTCGCGTCGAAACTGTCAAACTCTCTAGCGAGGAACTTCAATTTGGAAATTCTCCATTGTGAAAAAAATATCAATAGTCTCTCGATAATTAAATCTGACGTATAATTTGGTAAGCCTGATTAGCAAAATCTACGAGACGATGCATACTGCATCGTCGAGAGTGGACGACTGGATCGATCCAAGTGTCGAAATTTCACAGCGGGAGAACCGCTCCGGGAAAGTCAGTTCGACGGGAGTCGCAGCACCGGTGACGGTGACTTAAATCGTGGAGAATGATTTCGCGGCGAAATTCCAAAGTGATTACGCAGCCAGACATCGTCGGCGCGCGTGCGCGCGTTTGTGTCGGCGACGTGTCGGGACATATTTGTCCACGCGCACGGCGGTCTTACCCTTTATTCTCTACCCTCATCCTTCGCCGTTGTGAGTGTGACCCTCTACCTACGTCGGGTGACCCATCCCTCCTAATTCTCCTCTCCTACGACAGAGAGAGCGGGTCGCGCGAGTCACGGCCCTCTACGGAATAACGAGTCTCATTAATCCAATTAACCAGTAAATAATGGGATAGCATTTTCGTATTTACGAGAGAATACTTGGCCGGCCCTAATGGAGTTTTGAGCTGACTATCAATATATTCCTGCCGGCGCGGCGCGAGGGAACAAAGTACGGGTCACTCTCTCACTTAGTTAAACGGGCTTCGGAGCCGGCGAGGTTAGCGTCCCAGCCGGCTGGAGGACATCGATCTCGTTTCCTTCTTAGCTGAGGGAATCTGATTTTCAGAAGCACGCCCGGCTATACTCTGTGACGTGTCGCCACGTAGCTGCGGAATTTTTCCGCCGCAAAGTAAATAACGGCGAGCCGGGCGAGCAAGTAACCGTGAGCCGTAGAGTCGCTCGTCGCTTCGATCTTCCGTGATTCGACAAAGTCGGCTGTTTGTCGATTCGCGAACGCGTCGTTTCTCGTGTCAATTTAATTCCGCGCCGGAAAACGCGACCGGGCGGACCGGTCTGTAATAAGCCACACACAAGCTCGAAAACGGCAGTCGGATGTTGGAAACGTTTGTATTTAACGCGCTCCCTTTTTACGCACGCATCCTCCTCCTTACCCTTAGCATCGTTCGCCGATATGAAAGAGAAATTCGCCCCGGGGAGGAACGCAGGCCGCGCTCACGCGCGGAGTGTAAATTTTTCCCTTTTCCCGCGCGGATTTTTCCTTTTCTCTTTCTCTCTCCTTCCCCCCCCTCTCTCTCTCTCTCTCTCTTTCTCTCTTTCTCTCTCTCCCTTTTTCGTTTTTTATTTTAACTTTGCAGTGCGCAGTCGATTTAGCCCTGAAGTTTACTGATAAAGTCGAACAGCGCTTCGAACGGCGGAGTGCACGATGCCGGGGCTTAATGAAAATTGTTTACACCCTTAACGGTAATCTTTGAGCAGAATTACTACCGTTCGCCTTCCCCGCCCTTCGCGTCCGCTCGCGGAAATTCTGGTACGTAGCTGATAGCGAATAGCGGTGGAGGGGTGCGTTACCGAGCGCGCACATTCGGCGCACGTTTCTCCTTTAGATCTGGGGAGCGTTAAGGATATCTATTTGTGTCGCCCGCTAGGTGGAAGCAATAGAAATTACAGCGGACCACGTTCTGGGTTGGCTCATGATTTGCATATTCGTTTGAAACAATATCCTCGGGTGAGCGCGGCGGTAGGTCGTTTTAACGCGGCAGGGGCGCCGACACGAGTGGAGGGAGAATTTGTCGCCTTCTATGGTGACAGAGGGAGGAGGACGAGGGGGTGGAGGTGGAGAAACGGGATAGAGGAAGAGACACCGGCGCTGAGGGGGCAGGGGGGCAAGGTGTGCGGCGGCGGTGTTCGACTGTTTCAATTAAAATAAGCATACGCCGCCAGCGAGCCAATACCCGACTACCGTTTCCTTCTCTTTCTCTCGCTCTCTCTCTCTCTCTCTCTCTCTCTCTCCTCTCTCTCTCTCTCTCTCTCTCTCTCTTCTCTCTCTCTCTCTCTCTCTCTCTCTCTCTCTCTCTCTCTCTCTCTCTCTCTCTCTCTCTCTCTCTCTCTCTCTCTCTCTCTCTCTCTCTCTCTCTCTCTCTCTCTCTCTTCTCAACCGCCCGCCGACATCCACCTTTTCGCCCTCTCGAAAAGATCGAAAAAAGTTATCCCTCGTCTGGGTGTATTACTCAGCGTCGTCGAGATCTGAATGCGAAAGCAGTCGCTGAAGCTTGATGGCATTAATGTACGTTTCTTCGCAATCGACAGCATGATTTATTGGAAGATATGAGAAATCGCGTCGTTTCTCTTTCAAGGTTCCATGTAGAAAGCGCATATATTAACTCCTTCGCAGCTCTGATTTGCGTCTGAAGATCAGCTGAGCGTATCTTGCGTTTTTACATTGCGTATACATTGACATTTTGGAAAATTAATATATTTCGGGCTATATGCGTTCTCGGAAGATGATGTAAAGATTCGTAACCGCTTAAATATTATCTCGAAGCGTGATTTTTCGAAGGCTTCACAGTTATCCTATGATTGAAGCACAACCGCGAACACGTCTTAAATTTTACTTGAAAAATCACGTTAGATAAGTGGCAAATATTTTAACGTGAAAAATCGGTCTTCTTTTAATTTGAGATTTATTTAAAATGATTGCTTGCCGAAAAGCGAGAAAAGAGGAAAGGAGGATGAGAGTGAGATAACGGCGTGAGCTCGGCTAATATTTTCAGACGCCCGTTTCTCCACCGTCTATTCTCGATGCTTACTTCTGCGCATCCTTTCCCGGGAACGTGTACATATAAGATACTTTAAATGGGAAATCGAAACGCTTCGCAGATAACTCTCCTCGGGTGAGAATGTATTCAAAATGGCTGCCGGCGTGGGTGGGAGCGTTATGGATAGGAAGGAGACGGCGGTAAATCCCCTATGATGATACGAAACATATTCTACCTTTAAGAACCCGAAGGCCGCTCCCCCTCGTCGGCTATAAAATAAAGTTCACCGTTTTCATTCCTCTCCGGCTCCCCGAAGCTTAATCGAAGCTGCCGAATGGAAATGCCTTTTTTCCCTCCTTCATACGCTGCAAGTAGACGACAAAATTAGCTCTAATATACATTTATTCGCAACTGGATATTTAATAATGCAGAAATATGTAATTCAGGAAAGTCGTGCGAATAGAATGCGAAATCCTACGAGACGTTTCTCCTGTGGAGAAGTGACACTTTTATTTGCGATATCAAGATAAGGTGGCTGCATAAAAGTACGCACGCGATCCCCATGACGAATCGAATCGAAACAATTTCTTTTTCGAGAGACTTCCGGAAGGACAATATCGTGTAAATAATCGACCGTAACAGTCGATAACAAATAATAACGGTGTTTTGGAACTCGCGCCACCTCTAAACGACCTCTCTCTAACGACGTACACGCATACGCGGCATACTTCACGCCATAACCGTTTTCGACGCGGTGGCGAGTATATCGCGTGGAGTCGCGCTCTATTTCCATAAATTTATCGACTCCTTCGGAAAGTCATTTCTCGACATTTCACCAGCACGTTCACCCTGCAGCCGTCACCGTGAGCATCAGAAATATTCTGAGATGTAACAGGTGATTGTCACATATCACTTTTATTAGCTTCGATTTTGCACTTTTATACATAACCTAATCTAACAATAACCTCCTTCCTTTCCGAATTATCATTGTCGTCTTATTCCCGGCTCTCCGAGAAACTGAGCGTAATCTTTATGTACCGTAACGAGATATTGCTCTATGACTAATTAGGAAAATTATTGTCTGTTTCAGATTTGACAGAGAAAACGGCTACATTTCTGATAAATGCGGATGCTGCACTGCAGGGATCCGATTCGGGTAACCAGAGTTCCTTCGTAAGTAAATTCACGTACTCGCTGTATTTCAATATCTAATTTTACGCGATGTGAATAATCTTTCCGAAGTTTCGATAATTAGTCTGCTCGACAATATACTCAAATACGGAAGACGCTATCGGAATGTGAATCGAACGATTAAATATTATAGTGTGGCGTAAAATACCAATATCATAGCATATAACGAACTATAAATAAACGATACAACACTGATCTGAATTGAGACGCAGTACGCCGGAAGTCGCGCGACCTTTAGACCAACACACACTTACACGCGCAATACGTACACATTGGGCCATAATGGTTTTCGCGTTGGTAGTGAGCACACCGCGGCCGGCGTCATGCGCGCTATTTTCCATTTCTCTAAATTCATTAAAACTTGCGTGAAATTAACTGCGACATTTCGCGAGTACATTCATAGTGCCGGGGTAATCATTAGCGGTGGGAGCATTCCTAAGTTTTAAACGGTAACTACCGCATTTTATTTCCCTTCGTCTTAAATAAATGAAACTATACGATCGAAGTTTGTACTCGCGATATCTAACCTAACTTTAACCTCAACTTCCGTGGACCGAATATCTTCCTATTCTCGATCTTTCGAAACCGAGTGTAATCTTTATATTGCTATAATTAAATAGCCAAATTATTTTCCGTTTTAGATCGGATGGAGCTGGGAGCCACATCGCGAGGACAACTTTGCCGAGAAAGGATGTGATATCGGGAGGTTGACTTGGGCAATGAGAGAGAGAGAGAGAGAGAGAGAGAGAGAGAGAGAGAGAGAGAGAGAGAGAGAGAAAATCTTCCCACAGGTAAATTCACAAATTGGCACAGTATTGCTATTATATATTTCATTTTACGCACTTTCAATTATTTGTGATCTTAAAATCTCGATAATCAGTAATTTTATAATATGCTCGAATATACATACGAAAGATATGTGACCGAAACGCGCGAGCTGAATAATAAAATATAACGATCTATGAAATATCGGTATTGGAGTGTAGAATATGTTGTGTTGTGTAATAAATGGTACAAAAATATCTTGAATGACATCAAAGCATCTTTATTGAGACGCGGTGCACCGAAGGTCGCGCGTCCTTCAAAACAACACATACGTACGCGCGCGATACACTAAGGTCATAACAGTTTTGGCGTTGGTAGTGAACATATCGGCCGGAATGTGTGTATGTTGTGCGCGCTATTTTTCATTTCTACAAATACATTAACACACATGTCACATACGTGAGATTAATTGCTATACTTTGCAATTGCGTCATAGTGTCGGAACAATCAGCATCTTGAAATGTAGACGGTAATTATCATATGTTCCATTCTTCTTTGATTTAAATAAATGAAAATATACCTAATCTAACCTAACTTAACCCATTAATGCCCGCTGGGACAGAAATTTCGTGTTGATTTCAATGTTATGAATTTTTACAAAAATGCTCGAAAATTTTAATTCAAAGTACATTACTAAGAGTTTTCGAGGTCGCTCTTTCCGAATCCGCTGCGAGAATCATAAAAAAATGAGTGTTTGTATTGATTTATAACGGTTCTTTTCCAAAAAATGCGATTTTTTCTCGTCAATTTTTTTTAAATCATGGATTTCATCTTGATAAAAATGTTGAATATTACTGAAAAGTACTCCAATCGTGTCCTCAAGACTTGTACTTGAAATATATGTGGTTCTGAAATTTTTTGCAATTTAGTAATTTCAATATGGCGACCATATGTATGTATACCATAGATATCGCCGGATTCTTGGTATTCGCGGGAACTCGATCGAATAACTCGTTATGAGTGCATTTTTATGAAAAATTATCTAAAATAAAAATTGTCCTGTTGATCGAGTTCTTTCACGTGGTAGGACAACTTTCATTTTAGATAATTTTTCATAAAAATGTACTCATAACGAGTTATTCGACCGAGTTCCCAAGAATCCGGCGATATCTATGGTAATACATACATATGGTCGCCATATTGAAATTACTAAATTGCAAAAAATTTCAGAACCACATATATTTTAAGTACAAGTCTCGAGGACACGATTGGAGTACTTTTCAGTAATATTCAACATTTTTATCAAGATGAAATCCATGATTTAAAAAAAAATTGACGAGAAGAAATCGCATTTTTTGGAAAAGAACCGTTATAAATCAATACAAACACTCATTTTTTTATGATTCTCGCAGCGGATTCGGAAAGAGCGACCTCGAAAACTCTTAGTAATGTACTTTGAATTAAAATTTTCAAGCATTTTTATAAAAATTCATAACATTGAAATCGACGCGAAATTTCTGTCCCAGCGGGCATTAATGAGTTAATATCTCTCTCTCTCTCTTTCTCTCTCTCTCTCTCTCTCTCTCTCTCTCTCTCTCTCTCTCTCTCTCTCTCTCTTATAACTTATCAAATATCTCTTTACTCTCGATTTCTAAAGTCGAAAGTAATCTTTATATGCTTATAACTAATTAGGAAAATTATTTTCTGTTTCAGCAAAGGCAACTACACTTCCGATGAATGTAGAAATGGATGCAGATGCAGTACCGGAGGATCCGGTTCGGGCAGAGTAGGGTTGGCTCAAAAGTAAGCTTGCCGATTTCTTGTACTTTTCCTTTTCTCTATAATTCTTTGTGATTGCCAGTCAAGATATAGTTGTTTATTCAGAATTGGCTAACAGAAATTGTTAAATTGGAACTGGAAAGAGTTAATTCATTCTGTATACACACACTTGTTCCTAATGCCAAATTTAGAAATCTAATCAGCAAATCTGATTTTTGTTTCAGATCTATAAGACCGACCCGTGTATCGGTGAGTTGAAAAATGCGTGTGTAAACACAAAAGTAAATATATTTATAATGGTAGTGGTTTATAATACTCGTGAAAATCAATGCTATCTACTTTGCTTATTTTATTATTTATTATTTAGATTTTTTCATGTATGTATATGTCCTCTTAAATGAAATGCTTAAAGTAACTAGAGGATCATATTTCTGCATTATTCAATAAATTTTGAAAGTTATAATAATATTTTCTAATATTTCCTTTTCTAAATATCTCTTTAAATATCTCTTTAAATAGCATATATATTTATTTAAATACAATTTAAATATATTTTTAAAAATGTATTGAAATTTATTTAATAGTCATATCTTGTTTATTTAATCTAAATATATACTTGTGATTTAAGACATACAATTATCAAATATAATTATTTATTTAACGTGATCCACTGATTATTTTGAGTAGTATATAACGCGCATTAAACTTGCGCCACTGCGAGCGAATGAAACTCGCCATCATATATATCGCGTTGATTTAGATTTCGCGATCCCCGCGAATATTTGCTTTTTCATTTAAATTTTCCGTACATATATATTCGAGTCGTTACATGATTGCATTGAGTAAACGAATGAAAATCTTGTTAAGTTCAATTCGTCAAAATATTGCAGAGATCGTATTCGACAAGCAAATCATCGTAAAGTAATTACTTTTCATTATTTTGTTCGCGTACGATGTTGATTGATTCCGCGATCGGGTTTGCGATTTTTCATGCGCGAGACTTTCTAGAATTACCAGATTTATCGTATCGCAATTGTGTTCCTGATGATATATGATCATGATAAACAGTTATTAAATAAATTTCACTTTCGTTCCGCGTTAACGTAGACTCGTAAATCGAAATAAATCGAAACGTTTTTTCCGATTGAAGTATATTATAAAATAAACATTAATCAATCGCCGTTACAATATATATTTAATCACGTCGCGAGTGACAAAGTGCAATCAACGTGGGACGACGCAGAGCGACACATGATAGAGGTTGGACCCTGATGTAGTTCTCGAGATGCAGCTGCGGGTTTCGTCGGTGGACATCGCTGGATTTCATCGTGTAATGGTGAGCGTAAAATATTACGCTCGTGAGGCGTCATATGTAGTGCATGCGTAGACGTTGATAGCATTGATTTCTAACGAGAAAAGTAGGAGCAGTTGTACACTACTGCTTGGAGCCTAATCAGAATCGAAAATCTTGATAGAAATAAATGTCTGCCCTTTGTTATCTATTTATTTTTGCAAGATAATTATCTCTTTTTCTTCTTGAGAAATGAATATCAAATTTTATATTTCTTTTAAAATGGATTTATCTTTTCCTTTTGAGATGGATTTCTTTATTTTTGCAAGATGACTATCTCTTTTTTCGAAAAATAAATATTGAATTTAATATCTCTCTTGAATATGAGTTAATATTTCGTTTTAATCGATTAACTCGTTTGAATTTGTGGAGAATTATAGTATTAAATAATTCGTGTATAATGTTTAAAGTTTATTATCGACTAGTCACATTGTCAATATCGCAACTCTGATTCCGTATGCGTAAGATCTATACATAAGAAAATAAAGGCAGCATTAGAGCAACATTGCAAAAATCAATATAAATATTTAATTGAACTGTAAACATTGAACAAATAAGATAGATGGGTTTTTGCATAGTTAAAGATATAAAATCTGCGTGACATTACTGGCCAATTTTTATCGCTCACTGCGACTTTAATATTTTCATTAAAAATTTTTCGATTCTATTATACTCCACGATGCGTTATTACATTATTGTTACCAACTTTTATTTCTTCTATGTCTGAGTCGAAATATTAAGTCTATTACAAATTTTACAATTCCTAATTTACGTTTCTAATAATGTCTCTTGGCCGCGAGACTTTTTGAATTTGCTAACGCCTTTTTTTCATTTATATTCAGTCTTGCTATTAAATCAAACTTGAGATAAAAATTGAGATATGTAGAATATTAAAACAATCAAATATTAAGTAATCCTCAAACATGAAAAGAGAACAGCTGGACACTATGTATATATAAAATATTTATATTATATTTTGAGATTATTCATTTGTTTTACAATCCTAGTATAATTTACGGGATTGACATAAAATTAAAATTTCGACTTGAGATTGGTAACAATTAAAGACTTATCCATCATATTTATATTACGTTTGTTCTAATATTGCAAATGATTTGATGTCATTGAATTTGGATATTATCGATATCCTTCAATATTATTGACATGTTTTGATATTATTGACTTGTTTTGATATTATTAATGTGCTTTGACATTATTGCAATACTCTGATATTATTGAAATGCTCTGCTATACTGAATCGAAAGATGCGCAATTGAAAAATCCACGTACTCTTGAGACCGTAACGCACATATAGATTACGCGTATCTTCCCCAGTCGTCCCCGATACGCGAACGAAATGCTTTTTTCTTCGCGTTACTTTCCTCATGCGCTTTTAGCGCCTCGCGGTAATGGCAGTATCGTTGAGCCGCGTAAAGGATAATCCTCGATAACGATGTCGTACATCTCGAATACAGCGTCAAGAGGGTGAATCGATATATACATGCGAATATATATATATATATATGTCACACACTGGTGACCATTCGTTTCATATTTGCTCTTGTTAGACGTTCGTCGGCGTTAGCGCCGACGAACCCCAACGGCCGTCGTTAGGCACGCTTTAAGCGAGCATCACCGCGAGAGATCGGAAACGTGTCCATTTATCCAGAAAATAATCCGGAGATAGGATCTTCTCGTTGTCGCGTCTGTAAACGACGAGGTAGTGTCATTTTAGGGTTGACGAGAAAAGCGGGCTGGGCGTTGACGGTGCCCCACCCCCCGGCCCCGCTCGGAGATTAAAGATTATTTACGAGATGACGATAAGGTTTCTGACGATAACATCTAACGATCGGTTTCGAAAGGGGAGACCCGCCAACCGTTTTCACGACAGACTACGCGAGAAATGCCGCTCGTCACGATGCATTCATTTGTCTATCGGCTGGTGCCTGTGACAGGCGCTCGGCTTCGGGATGCTGGGCGGAACGTTACAACTACCGAGACGAAGATAGTTATTAATTGTCACAACCACATACAGCGCGCGCGCTCGTTGCAAGAAACATGTCCCTTATGCCTGGTTTCACCGACGTCGGCGTTAACTTCGGCCGTAGTTCAAGTCGCTCTTTATCTTTTTCTGATTCCGCTTCCGCAAAAAGACGGGCGGTCGAACGGAGGTTAAAGTTCAGCGCTGTGCAGTGCCTCGCTTGAGCGTTAATTTCATCAGAACCGCAAATTAACACTCGCGAAATTTCCGGCGATATCAGTAGCCGTCGTATCACACTGTCTCTCTCGCCCCCGCGGTATAAAAATTACGCGTCCCCCCCCCCATTCAGTGCAAAAATTCCGACTTCCTCCGGAGAATCCGTGACTCTCGCGTCGTGCCGATATTCTTAACCGGAAGAGCACCGTGTCGTTACGCATCTTCGCCGCGCTGCCGGCTCGACTCTTTTCGATTCTCAATCATTCACGCTCAAAGACTATTAAATACTACGACACGGTAGCGAAGACCGTTGAAGGCTCGACTTGTGAACTCCGCATTAATTTCCGCCAACTAGCGCGCCGACATTTCCACGATACATCCCAAGTATGCCGATACCCAAGCGCGATCAGAGCGGCTCGCCGTAAATAAAATAACGCACATCCCCGCGTATTTGCCTAACGTAACGTCGTCTCCGCCGCTCTCGGAGATTCCTCCGGCCCGCTTCGCGGTCTCCGCGAGCTCGGGCGAGGCTGCGGAAGGGGTTGCCGCGCGTCACGGAGCGAGGGTGTAGGCGCCGCGCGAAGGGATGATACACGGAGAGATGGTCGAAGGTCTCTACTCCATGGCGCGCGAGGGATGTTGTTATTTACGGTATTTAGATAACCAGCTTACGTAGGACCCTCACACCCCTTTTTCGGCCCCCGCCACCCCCCTCATCCAGCATTGGCCATGATCCCGCGGCCGAGATAGCGCCGACGGGGTGTCACCGGCAGCGCGGCATAGCCGGCGCAACCTGCGCGAATGTCGAGCGAGGATCCGCGCGCATTCGACTTGTAGATTATTATAACGAGCATCGCGTCGCATTAGCATACGTATCTGTTCTCCCGGGAAACCCACGGGCGGCTGCTGCTGCTGCTGCTGTTGCTGCCGCCGCGCCGCCGCCGCTGCTGACGCAGTATTATACCGGAGAATTACTCCTCCTACTCTCTCACCCTGCTACCCTCTGCGACCTCGATGCACCCTTCTGCCCGTTCGCCGCTTCTGTCTATTCGGTCGCTCGGTCTGTCACCTATGGGCGTCTCACACGCGCACGGCTCGGATTTGCCGGATTCGCATGGACCGTGTGGATCGTAATCGCGATGTGTGATTGTCGCGGAAGATGGCCGCGCGGGATTTAACGCCGATGTTCGGTTAATCGGCGCGCGCTGCATTTTTATTCGATATCGTTTCCCATAGTAAAATCCGAAAAGGAGTATTTTCGAGGCGCATCTTGAAAGTCACTTGGCGAAGTTATCGAAGATTCGCAGAAATGTTTGTGAAACTTCAAACTGGACCAATATAGTAGAGAACGTGGAAAACATCCCTCGTCGGCTTGAGAGAACTAAACCATACGAACTGTTGGTTCAAAACTCAATAAGAGGCTTATCGTTTGATAAATACTCCACTCACCTGGTTCTAATGAACGAAGCGAAAATCGCTAGCCTCCTGCAGACTGGTCATGATTAAGGATGGTGTCTTTTTAGCGGATAAAAATCCCACACCATTCAATAGTTCCATCTTGGGTATCTTTTGAAGATTTTTTCACCTACCTTCATTAGAAACAAAATATGGTAGAAAGAGAGAGAGAGAGAGAGAGGGAGAGAGTAAAATATAATTGTAAAATACGTTACGTCTTCACGGTGTAGATTTTTCCTCCGTAC